TCCTGCTCACCACCGGGTCCGCTGGAACTCCCTTACCGCCACGGCACGGGGCCTCCCAGCAGCCAGCCTTGAAGGCAGCGAGCTGAGGCCCCTTGTGACCGGCCTCTGTTCGCCCCCCAGATGCTACGAGGTGAGCCTGCGCGGCTGCCTCCTGCAGGACCTCTTTGTTCGTTTCTCACGGCTTCCGGGCAGCCAGGAGGAGGACTTCGTCTGTCGCCTTGGAGAAATCCAGGTGAGGCATCCCGGGTGCCTTGCTGGGGCTCAGGCTGAGGTGTCTGTCCCGTTGTAGAGGAGGTGGAATGTGGCCCCAAGCTGAGCACCCACCTCCTGCCTCCCCTGGGTCAGAGGAGAGTTGGGTGGGGGTCCTGGGGAGTGGGACCGCGCGGGGCAGGCACCAAGAACTCCCTGGGCCTCCCGGCTGTGCTGAGTCCTGTCTCCTGGCAGGTGGTGGACGCCGGCAGCCTGCTGAAGGCTCTGCCGCGGGTGCAGGCAGTCTCTGTCTCCCACTTGCGCTGGCAGCAGGCTGCCTCTGAGGGCGAGGGCCACCCTGCCGGCCTCCAGCTCAGCTGTACTCTGCACTGGTCCTACCTGCTCTCCCACGTCCGATGCTTCCGGGTCCACTGCTGCAGAGGGACAGCCGGCTGCTCTGCTGGCGGGGGGCCACCGGGGCCCGAGAGGCCCACGCTCCTGGGCCTGGCTTTTGTCAACCAGTATCGGATAGTGGACCTGGCAGTGGCAGCCATAGGGCCCGGCCAGGATGGCCGTGTGGAGTTCCTCGTGGAGCCTGTCCCCAAGGAGGGGTTTCTGGTGCCGCAGGCCGAGTGGGGCAGGGCGGCCATGCTCTACTCCATGCCTGCCTCGTGACTGGACATTAAAGCCCGTCTTCCCACCTCAAGTCCGAGGCTGCTTCCTTGCTGGGCCGTGATGTGTGCAGGCAGCAGTGGGGAGACCCGGGTTCCCAGGGCTGGGGCAGGGACCACGGGACCCCAGGAGGATGCGGGCAGTGGCATCTTCATGGGGGGCATTGGTATAGGAAAACCACAAAGTCGGTTTGCTGGGTTGATAATTCCCTGAGGTGAACGGACCCCTCCCATTTTTGTCTGCACCCTCTCCATGGTATATAGTTCCCAGGTAAAAGTGAAACCATTTGGGAAAGTTTAGTGCAGAAAATTCCATAAAAGATATTTCCTAGTAGGCTGAAAGATGCCGATGGTGAGAATGGTGTGGGTCCGAGGGTGTGGACTGAGAGCAGAGGCCCCGAGGGGGTGGGTGCAGGAATGACGGGCGCCTGCAGGCGCCAGGCAGTGGTGCTTCGTAGGAGTGGGAGCCCAGGGCCAGGCTGGTGCCAGGTTGCACCTCCACCCGGGCAGGCAGGCAGGCCACCACGGTCTAGACCACCTGATGCTGTGGCTTTCCCAGGGGCCCTGTGCCCTGCTACGTGTCTTTGGGGTCAGGGGTATGGGGCGAAGCTTGCACCGGGCAGTCTGTGTGCCTCGGCCCTGCCTCTACGCTCGGGCAGCAGGAGGCCTGGCTGGCCCAGGAAGGCCCTTGGGCTGCAGCCCGGCCCACTGCCTTGGGGGAGAGCTGGGCTGGCGTCCCTTCTCGCCGCCCCTCCTCAGCCTCTGCCAGCGCAGGCGCTGCGGGGCCTACCCGCTGCAGTCACCTTCCTCTCTTGCTTCCTTTTCTCTCTTCTAGCACCTCCCTTCTTCCCCGGTCCATACTCAGGCTGGCCGGTGGCTCTCTGGGGAGGAGAGGTGGGTAAGCGGGCTGGAGGCGGCTTCTCCAGCCGCACAGCTCTGGTGTTGACACCTGGGCCACTGGTGGCTTCCCGGGGTTGGGTCTCGACCACACAGCCTTGGGTAATGCTGCTCTCCTCCAGGCCCGAGTGGTGTCTGCTGTGATCTTTGGACAGCCTTAGAAGCCTGAAGTCCCTTGTTCTTGGGGTCTCTCACCCCCAGGTCTCAGAGGCCAGTATGGGGATTCCTTTCCCATTCCTCTTTTCCTCCACCTGTGCTACGAGATGTGAGGGGGCCCTGAGGGCAGGGAGACTCTGGGGTGGCCTTCCAGGTGGAGCTCAGCCTCACGGTCAGCCTCGGGTCACAGTTTGGGGTCAGCGGACTTGATTTGCGCTGTAGTGAGGGGAGAGGCCACCAGGCGGCAGTGCAGCCACACCGCCACCGTCCCTGCTGCTCTGGTTCCTGGTCCTCCGGCATCGGAGAGGTGTGGGGTGGGCCGGGAGGAGTCTCCTTCTACTGCTGACGTTTGCTGTCCCCACGCTCCCTGCCTCCCCAGGTGCCCACGCGCCTCTGCCACAGCGAGACCTCGGGACTCTCAGTCCTGTGTTCTCTGCTGATGGAGAGCACTTTGCTCTTCATGTCCCATGCTGTGGCCCCGCCAGTTCAGTCCTGGGACCGGAACAGGTTTGCCCTGGAGAGGGTAAGATGGCTCATGCGCAGGAAGACACCTCTGCTGTCTGACTGCCACACTGAGGTCTCCCCGCACCCCTGGTTCTCCCTGTGAATCTGGAAGTAGTGCACCTTTGGGGGGTGCGAACATGAGCTGCTGCCACTCGGAACCACTCACCCGACTTTTCTCCGTTTTGACAATTCCCTGGAGCACGTGGAGTCTCTCACTTTGCACCAGGGGGATGGGGTGGGGGCTCCTGGCCTCCCCCTCCAGTCCCCAGAGGTGGGAGTAGCGTGGAAGGCCCTGCTGCTCTTATTTCATGAAGCCTTTTTTTTTTAAGTGCTGGTTCCCCTGGATATTTTATGCAGAGGAGGGAAAATTTATAGTGGCAATTATTTTCTCACAGTCTGGTGAGCAAGCAATTAGAAGTAAGGGGTTTAGCAGAGCATGGTGTGGCGGAATCGCACACCCAGCTCCCGAAGAGCGTGGTCCCTAGTCCCAACGGCGGTAGAGGCGCAAATGCAGGGAAATTAATCTGTTGACATTTAAGCTGGTGCCCCTCTGGTGGATGTAATTGCTCGACGTTATCCGAGGTGAAAGATGAACTCCAGTCCTGGTGAGGTGTGTCTGGGCAGCACCCGCTCGGGGGGGTGGAACCCGGCCTCGTCCCAGCCCCCAGGCCCCGGGCTTTGAAGCTCTTGGGCTGGAATCTGCTGCCTCCCCTCCGGGTCCTCCCTCCTTTCCCTGGGGTGGTGAGGGTGGCCACTCCCCTCCACCCCAGCCTTCCGGGAATGGGGACCCGTGGGGGGCTGGAGCAGTGGGTTCACCTTGAAGCAGCTCCTTGGAACCACAGCTCGGCCCCGTGACACTGGCTGAGCCAGTGGTGTGGGTGAGATCCGAAGGAGACGCCCTCCCCAAGCACGGGCGACAAACGCCCCTGCAGCAGTGCCACCTCCCCAGGATGCCCCCAGCTCTGTCCCCTCTCCTATACTCCGGCGGCAACCCCACGGGCATCCTGGCCCTCCTGTGCCCTCCACCCTGTGCCCGGGAGCTGCCAAATCAAAAAGAGTTGTCCTGGTTTGAAGAAAGAAATCTTTATTAATAATCTTAATAATAATAATACTGTTGATTTGAATGGTCACACCTTGGAAGCATACGGAATGGTAAGAAAGGAAGCCTGGGGCTTGGCGGCCGTCCTAGAGGAGCCGGGGGCAGGGGCGGGCGTGGAGCTGCTGCAAGACCAGGGTCCAGGACAGCAGGGGGGGTGCCCTGTACAGAGGACGAAGCCGGGGGGGCGGGGCTATGTACAACAGGAGTAGAAAAGGAGATTGGTTTCAGGACTTGAGGAGCTGATGCTGAATATAAACTGAGGTGCACTTTGACTTGAAGTTTCATGAGACAGTGGAGCCATGTGGGGAGCCCAGGTTTTTTGTTATTTTTTGCTGTTTCCCTCCTCCAGCCATCCCTCCCAGCCAGGGGCTTCTCTCTGGTCCATACCGTCTGCTTCCCCCAGAACCCCGGAGCCTGACCCGGGAGCAGGGCTCAGTGCAGCCCTCTCTCCCACCCCTCACTTTCCCTGCTGCGGTGAGGCCGTCCAGACACAGAGCACTGACTCCCAACCTCACTGTGCAGCCAGTTGCTGCCCGTCCCTGTCCCTCTGCTCCCCTGCAGGCCTGGGCTCCCTGCGGGGCAGTGGCAGGGAGGGCTCATCCCAGCAGGCAGCCTGAGGTTGGCCTTCCCTCCCACACACCAGGTGCAGGGCCTCCTCCAGAAAGGGAGCAAGAGGTGCCAGGCACAGGAAGGACTCGGCTCGGCCCCCACACCCCAGCCCTCCTACCTCCTGGCTATGAGGAGTCAGTCCTGGCTGGGCAGCCCGGAGCCCCTCACGTGGAGGGAGGAACTGGGTGCCTGGGGTTCTGGACTCTCGTCAGCCCTTGGTGTTGGGGTTGGCCCCCAGGGCTGCTGGCTGGACAGCCCCCAGTGGCCTGCAAACTCCTTCACCAGGTTCGCAGGACACGGGCATTGGCGGCATGGCATGGGGTGGGCTGGGGCCCAGAGAATGTGACCCGAGGGTGACTGGGCGCCGGCCAGAGCCCCTGGGAATGAAAAGCTGCCCTCCCCCCTCCCTGGCCCAGCCGTCCCCTCCACTGGCACGATTGGCAACAAAGGTCAAGACCCAGTGGCCCGCTCTTCCCTGCTCAGGCCTGTGGCCCTCCGCCACTGGCCCCACACTGCCTTGGGAGTGGGGGGCCGGGAAAGGAAGACTTGATAGAAAACGGAGGCCCCTTCCTCTCCTGCTCTCCCCCTGCCCGAGTCGGGAGGGGCAGTTCCCGCCAGCGCTGCCAGCCGGGGACGGGTACCCGGCCCTCTCCCTCGCGGGGGCGCGGGCCCGTGGACGTGCTCCCTCGCTGCGGTGTGCACCGATGGGGACTCGGACGTGGCAGATGCTTCTTGGTTTGGTTGGTTTTGTTGCTGCTTGGATCGTAACATCTTTTTTTATTTTGTTTTTTGTTTTGTGATTTTTTTTGTTTGCTTTTTTGTTTTTGCCCTTCATGGTCCAAGAAGGAAACGTGGAAGCTTTCACTACAACAGAAACAGAAAGGCGGGACTTGCAGTTTCACCGAAGCAACCGCCTGGCGTGTTGGGAGGGCGACAGGACCCCGCGACCTGCAAAGTGCAGGGTGGGAGGGAGCACCTGGGCCCTAAAGTCCTAGCCCCCATTCCCAGTTTTCTGCTAAATTTAAGGCGGATCTCCGCCCTCCAGGGCAGAGAGCTGATGGACTGGTGGTGGGAAGAGCGAGGGGCAGCAGGAATGGAGAAACCACAGTGAACCTGGCTGCGGACGCCACCTGTGGACTCTGCTAGGAGCTGAGTGGGCAGGGGCCTGGCTGGCGTGGCTGGACGAGGGCCGAGGTCAGGGCGTGGTGGATGGATGGTGCAGCACGGGCCACGTGGGGCCCGGAGTGAGGCAGCTGAGAAGGCGGTGCACTGGGGAGTGGGAGGTGAGGGGCCTGGTGCCCCGGGCCTGATCTGCCCACCCCACCAGCAAGGGACTGATGCACTGGTAGAATGGGGCCGTGGATCACGTCCTGGCTGAGGGGGAACCCACGACCTCTAGCTGGCCGCCCGGCCCTCAGGCCCAGCTCCGGCACCTTAGACCAGGGGGCTTCCTTGGCTGTGACACTTTCCTGTAACGGAGGGGCTGGGGCTGGCACGTGGCAAGGGCCCTGGCCTGTCTGGGTGGTCTCAGCTCTACCTGCAAGCCCCAGCCAGCTTCTCCTCCCAGAGCCCTGTGCAGCCAGAGCAGCACGACCACAGGGCTGCGGAGCTAAGCGCCGAGCCTCTAGCTGGGAGCCCTGAGCACGGGCGTCGCCTGCTCCCCAGCCACTCTCCCATGCAGGCTGTCCCGCCTCTAAAAGGCACCCTGATAAAGAGACGGTCCCGGCGCTGGGAAGGGAGAGAAGAGCTGGGCAGATACAGGGCCAGGCTGGCCGGCCCGGAGGGGAAAGCCTACTGCTGGCAGGAGGGGGCTGGAGGGGCCCTCAGGCACTGCAGGGCAGCACGTTCTGGGGCAGCCTGGGGCCCTGGAGATTTCTTCTTACACTTCCATCTCTTACAGCACAGGCTAAGGGACCCCTGGGGCTGGTGTGGCTCCCGCATGAGACACTGGTGACTGCTTCGGCAGGAAACATCGTCAACAAAATTTAATCAGCAATGTTAGTTTCAGTTGGATGGGGGCGAGGAGGGCGGAGGCCTGGGCAGAGGCAGCTGCTCCCAGGCCTAGCTAGGTGAAGGTCAGAAGGGAGTACTGTCGTGGCCGGGAACCTACCAACTGGGGTGGACAGGAGCCCCTTGCTCCCTGAACCCCAGGTGACAGATGGGGGCTGTGGCCCGGGCTGGCTGGGGTGGCTTCCTGGGGAGGCCAGCTGGGGGTCTTCTGTGGCTCTGTAGACCCGGGGGATGGGGAGGAGGTGGTGCCCTGGCAGCTCTATTGCTAGTTGTCGGGGAGGGGTCTCCTGCCCAGCCTCGCCCCTCCCGCTATGTGCATACCGTACCTGAAATGGCTTGGGGGGCACAACGTCAACAAAGTCAAAATAGGAACCAAGGTTTCAGACATACAGGGGTAACCAAGGTGAGAGACACACACGCCATCGTGGGGGGAGACCAGCTGGCTGGACGTAAAACCTATGGACGGAGGTCAGCGGTGCGTGTCGCTGACCGGGAGGGGCGCACTGTCCTCCTGGTGGCTGTGCCTGGTTTTGGACTGCTGGGTTTGGTGTGTACTAGGCAGTCAGTGAATGCTGTTAGGGGCTGGGCCTCTTGCTAGTAGGGGGTGAAGCGGCTGTACCCTCCTCGGCAGAGGCTAGCCTGCAACATCAAAGATGAAAAACAGCCAATCAGTACCGCCTTTTGGTAGGGGGGAAAAAGCAAAAAGAAAAAAAAAATAAGGAAAAACAAAAAGAGAAATAGCTGAATCCCATTTGCTGCCCACCTTATGGTCTGCCTTGGGGAGAATGGGTGCCAGCTGTCATGGCAGCAGGAGGGGGCCTGGGCCTATTTCTGATGTTCTGGCAGTTTCAGGGCCAGGGGTGCTGGGGTCACCAGCCACAGTGCTTGTGGGTGACGAGGTCTGAGATGTCTCTGGGTGACTGTCTTGGCTCTGGCCTGGCCCTTCACTGCCCCCTTTCCCCTTCATCGGGGGAGGTGTGAGCGGGAGCCCCTCCTCCTCGTGCCCCAGCAGGGCTGCCACAGGGCAGGACTCAGCCCCTCCAGACACCGGGAGGGCAGAGGGGCCTCCTGTCGGGGTTCCTTCCCCCAGTGGGCCTTGGCTCGACAGGAGGGGCTGCGCCTGCTCGCTCAGCTCTGACGGGCTTTCTGGGGTCCCAGGGCCCTGCTCCTCCAGGGCCCAGCCTGGCCTGGCCTGCGTCCTGCCGGGAGGACAGGTCCTTCGTGTCCTGGCTTTCCTGTGACCCTGGGCTCCCCTGGGTCAGAGAGGCCTCCAGAGGAACCTCCTGCTCCACCCACCAGTTTTGCCAGAAAAGAGAAAACGACTAGTACCAGAGAAGAAAAGTTGGGGAAAAAATAGAAAATCTTAAAAATGAAAACATAAGAGGAACCCTCTGCGAATTAATGAAAGCTTTTAGCTAGCAGCTGCACGGAGGGCCGAGCTGATCCCGGAGCCAAGGGCCTGCAAGCTGCCGTTTCGGGGCCTGGATCCAGGCAGGGGTGCGGGCCCCCAAGAGGCCTGTGCCCTGTGGCTGCCAGCTGTCACCGCAGGCTGCGTGGAATGTCTGAGGCTTGTTAAAAATCAAAAAAGACAAAACAAAAATCGGGAGGGAGTAATCAAAACCAAGGGAGATCAAAAAATGAAATCCACATTGGCTCTGAAGCTCCTCCTGCCTTAACCCCCCAAAAATGTTTTCATCTTTGATGCTGGATGCCAAGCTAGCTAAAAACTGACATTAACGCCCCCCACCCCGGGGTTGGGCGGGGTGGGCACAGGAGATAGGTGTCCACTGGAAGCGATTTTGGGGTGCAGAGTGAGCTGGGCTGTATGTGTCGACAGCTGGCCATACACACACACACACACAGACACACTGGCCCGCACCCCTGGGCCGCAGCCAGCCCATCAAGAGCATGCCCCCTCACCCTCCCCGAGGCCTGCTGGCAGAGACTGGGGGAGAGCAGACCCCGTTTCCCCAGCAGAGGGCCTGCAGATCCTGCCTGGGGGCCACGGAGGGGCCATGGCGGGGCTGGGGTGAGAAACAGCAGGCAGCCCTGTTCCCCTCCTGGACCTGAGGAATGGTGGGGGCTAGGTGGGGACAGGACACAGAGGGACGGTGGCACAGACACACCCACACGAGGGAAGCGAGGCCCTGCCTGCCTCTGAGCCTCTGCTGGGGAGGTTTGGTTTGGTTTTCCTGGCAGGGGAACAGAGGGCCGGGACAGGACTTAGTTATGTCCCACAACTATGGAGCTCAGAAAATTGGGCCACCCCAGGATGCTTCCGTGACCGGGTAGCTGAGTGTTGGGGCAGACCCGCCTCCCTCTGACTGTGCGAGGGCACAGTGGGGCAGGTCCTCCCCCTGCTCAAACTCAGGCCTTGGTCCTTCCAGGCGCCAGGACTGATGCACTTGTCAGAGGCCTGGGTCACCCTCCTAAGGGCCTACCCGCCCCACCCTGGTTGCAGCGCCTGGCCCTCCTCGTCACTGCCAGCGCCAAGGGCCAGCCGGGCCCCAGCCTCCTTACCATGGTCCCAATGCTGTAGGTCGCCGCAGGGCCGATGGTGTGGTGATAGGGGTCAGCAGCCGCGTAGACTCTGCCGTAACTGGGGAGATGAGCACAGGGAAGGAGGGGGAGATGTGGGGGTGATGAGGGCAGGTGGAGGGGTAGCGACAGGTCTCCCACCTCTTCCCAGACATTTTGTGAACATCCTCCAGCGGGGTCCCACCCTCAGGGCCCCTCCCTCCCCTGCATGCCCTCCTGGCCGTCCTTCCTGCCTGTTTGGAAGGAAGTGTCCAGAACACAGCTGGCCACCCTCTCCATATATCCTCGGTCGCTGACCCTGACGAGGGGCAACCTGTTCTATGCGATGCCACGGGGAAGAGAAAAGGGAGTCCTTGCAGAGCTGGTTTGGAGGGAGAAGAAACCTCAATCGCCAGAAAGAACGGGGACAAAGTGCTGAGGAAAGGGGCTCAGAGAGGGAGGAAAGATCCGGGGTGGGGAGTCAGGGACGTTGCCACGAAGGAGGCACCTGCGGCCCCTTGATGACCTTCCCCTCGCTCAGTTTATTTTGCGTGTGAAATGCCAGCTCCCTGGAGCACAGGGCTGGGTCCTGGGGCCTGCTGTGCACCTGACAAAACCCACACACACCTGAGACGAAGCCAGAGGCTGCGAGGCAGGTGTGGGTCCGAGGGTGAGGCCTCCACCGGGAGGGCCAGGCGGTCCCCGGGCCAGAGCCCACCACATGACTGTTACAGGGCCTCGCACACGTTCCCAAGCAGGAACTCTGCAGCTGACGGGCTGAGGGCCCACTGGGAAAGGCAGCTGGGCAGAGGCTGCTGCTCTCAAATGGCGCACACAGCCCCCCTGGTCCTGCCACAGCTCCAGGAGGCGGCAGAGGGGCATGCTCTGCCTTTCCTTCTTGGAGCCAAAGAGTTTCTGACCTAGGAGCACTGAGGAGGATCACAGGCCTGCCCAGGGGCAGAAGCGAAGGCTCCTAATGACCTTCTCATTTGGGGCCTCCAGAGATTGGGCAGGAGGGCCAGGCCTCCAGGGCTGGGAATTGGAGGACTTCCTGCTACCCCAGAACTGGAGGCTTCGGTGGCCTCTCCCACTGTACAAGCAGGAAGTGATTACAGAGGGCGGGGGCTGCTGGCTCAGGGGTCTACAAGCCCACTCAGGCCTACTCTCCTCTGTCCAGACCCTGCACCACCGGGCTGAGGCAGCCCCAGGCCCTGAGTGGTGGATGAGGCTTCCTGTCTGTCTGAGCCCGGCCCTACAGGGATCTTGGCTGTCTTCTCCACGCCCCTGCGCCGCCCAGCTCCTGGTCCCCAGGCTCTACCTGTCGCTGTAGGCTGCCGCTGCTGCCGCCGCTGCTGGCTGAGCATATCTGTAGGCCGCATAGCCTCCCTGCAGGGTCAGGGGAGGAAGAGAGAGTGCACGGCTTAGTGGGGAGGACACGGCCTTTCACCCCTCACCTTGGCCAGGTGAGGGGTAGCAGGTGCAGGCCTGGGGGCACCTAGCTTCTGGTCTAATGGAGACTGCAGACTGTCAAGTGGCACGGTTCGAGGTGAGGTAGGGGTGGGTTTGCTCATCCATTTGTGCATTCAGCACACAAGGGGGGGGCACCAATTATACGTCTGGCTGTGTGTGAGGCGCTGGCACACAGCAGTTGCTTGGAGACCTGCCTCCAGGCCAGTGTGCCCCAGGCACTGATGCTGACAGGCATGGGGAACTCCTGGGTGACTCTGAGTGTGATCCTGGACAATGGGAAGGGTCAAGGACAAAGGGCATTAACTCAGAACACGTTTTGGCCCTGGCACAAATGGATCGTTGAATTACAAGCGACTGCCCAGGATGGAAGTGAGGTCTGCATTGGGCCAGGTATGTATGTGGGGTGGGGGTCGTCAGCAAGGGCTCCAAGCTGGAGGAAGCAGTAAGAGCCGCACCATGAAGGAAGAGAGAAGCAACAGGACCCAGCCCAGGGGTCCACCCTGGAGCCCCCACCTCTTGGTCTCTTTTGGGGGCTCTGTACTGGATATGGGGTGCCTATGGGGGCTCACTCAGTCATCCCAGTGCGGTCAGGGATATGGGAGAGTTGCCCACTGCCCCCATCCTAGACACCGTGAGAAATGCAGAAGACGTGCCTTTGGCTCATGGGGCTGCTGGGAGACCCATTACTACTCCCACTGTGAGCCCGGATAACCCAGACTTAGCTGGGCCAAGGTCCCTAGGGACGCAGTGCTCTGGGCAGACGCAGCGCCCTCACCCTCCGGGGTTCCAAGGATGGGCATGCGGTGGGGGGAAGGGGCAGAGAGGGAGAAGACACTGACCGCTCACTGAAACTGACAGGATGCCAGGATGCCACCCTTCCCCCCCCAGGGCTGCACTTACATAAATCTCAGCACCATAAAAGCCGTCCTGATACACGACCCTGGAAGCAAACGGACAAGAAAGTGGTGGGAACGCTGGAGAGGTGGGGTAGGCCGGCTCCGGTGTCTGCTGAGGAGGGAGGGGGCAGGGTGCCAGCCCTGCCCATGGGACTGGCATTTTAACAAGCGTTTGCTCCAGTGCCCTGTTTTGGTATAACAATAGAGTAACACCCTTGCTGGTCAGCTCCTTTCTCCCACAAACCCAGGGGCCCACAGGCCCATCTTGCTCACCCTCCCCCCACTCCACCCCAGGCAGCTGTCCCCCCCCAGATCAGGGCGGAAGGCACTAGGCCCTGGGCAAATGGACCAGCGAGGGCTCAGAGAAGGCCCTCACTGGGCTCAAGGGCCAACCACGATCCCATTATCGGTCCCTCTAAACGCCAATGACCCTTGATTCCCCGTAGCGAGGTGGGGGTGGGGGTGCTGATATGGAGAGGACAGCAGTGTGGAGTTCTGGGAGTTCCCACAGCCCCCCGGAGTTTTGGAAAGGCTGCCTGGACCCTCTGGCTGCCGTGGGACTCCCTCCCCACGCCTCCCCCCGTCCCAGCCTTGCTTCATGCTTCCCTTCCCGTGGCCCCCAGATACTCACGCGCCGTAAGTTGGGATCGGGGGCGGGGGCGGCGCAGCCCGAAACGTATTATACACGGCCCGGCCCCGGCCCCGTAGGTGCGCGCCCCTGTAGGCAACGGCTGTGCCTGTGGTGGGGTAGGGGAACCCGGTCACTGCAGGAAAGGGGGCAGAGAGGAGACGGGGTGAGAGGGACCACCGAGAAGGCAAGGGCAGGCAGGGGCGCCGGGCCTGAGCGCAGCCACACCAGGCCACGCCCGCCGGACCACACCCACCTACCACGCCCCCAGCCAACCACAGCCCCAGTCAAGCCTTCCACCAGCAGGCCCTGGCTTTCCAGCCAGAACGACCTGGACAATGACCGCCCAATACCCAGCCCGGCGCACCCGGCCCCGCTCCACTGCTCTGGCTTTACCTGCATAGAACTCAGGCCCGTAGACTGCGCCTACCACGGGGTTTAGCTTCCAGCCTAGAACAGAAGCAAAGAAACCCAGTCGCCGTCTTCTCCATCCTCTCCCCATCTCACACTATGCCTGGGAACTCTCAGGACGCCAGGCTGAGCCCCCTGGGGACATCCGAAGGTGTGGCCTCTGCAGAGAGCCGCCGGACCAGACCCCCTCCCTCTGCAGTCAGGGTGGGTGGGGGAGGCTGGAACACAGACCCCCGGCCCCTCATGGGATGCTGCAGCCTCCTGGCTGGGCTCCTTTGCTCCCTGAATACCAGGGACCTGGTCACTCTCTTCTTGACTCTTCAAATTGTGGCCCCAGCCTGCCCCTGGGCCTCTGCTGCGCAGGGCACCAGCCCCAGCAGCTCAGGGTCTGCAAGCTCTGCAGAAGAGAATCAGGAAGGGAAAGTGGAGCACGTTATATAAACGGCGGCAGGCCCACAGCCGGGCTGAGGGGTTCTGTCGGGAATGCCATCTCACGTGGGCACCTGGCTGCCTTCTGGGAGAGTCAGAGATTGCTGGAAAAGTGCTTGGCCTCTGCCCAAAACCTCCTCCCACTTCCTGCCTCAAAGTTTCTCTCCTGTGGTGGAGCTCCTGGGAGTCCCTTTTCCCAGGGCCATGTCCTGCTCTTGCTACCCTGGGGTCCCGTCTTTCCCCAAAGCAGTCATTGGGAAGGGCTTTGGATTCGGGATAATAATAATTATTATTCCTGAGCACTTCACCATGTGCCACACCGCTCTAAACCCACCCAATGAGGTGGATGTTTCATCCTCCCATTTTATAGATGAACAGGTGGAAGCTCAGGGAGGCCCCGCAGCCTCTCGTCACAGAGCTGATGAGCGCAGAACCAGGCCAAACCCAGCAGTGGGATGCCAGACCCATATGCCTGGCCACTCCCTGGCCCCAAGCTGTAACTGGCTCCGGCCTCTCCCTCTCTGCAGGCCGGCTGGCTGAGGGCCCACTGCTCCTGGGCCAGCCTTCCTCTCCCACCGGGGACCAGGTGCATGAGTGAAGACCCACTTCAGCCTAAGGCCTCTGGGGTGGAAACCAGCCGGCTCTGGGCAGGCCCTGGCCCCAGGCATCCAGAGAGCATGGGCAGGGTTGGCTCATTGTACCATGCCCGGCCCCTAGCCTCCGCTCAGTCTGCCCAGGTCTTATCTTTGCAGCGTGCGTGACATGTGAGGAGAGACAGAAGGGACTTGAGCCCCCTGGCCAGCTGGGGAGACATGTCTGGAGAGTGTGGCAAAGGGCCAGGCCAAGCCATCGTGGCAGACTACACATGGGAGCCCCCAACCCAGCTTCTAACAGCCCCACTGCTGGGTGGGTGGCCGGGAGGCATCCAGGACAGTGTCCAGGGCCTTGCTCCTCCCGGGACCCATTCTCCACACTCTCCACAAGACTGTGGGCCGCCTTTCACCCCTGATTCACCTTCACATAACTGGCGCAGACGCTTGTGTCAGATCATTACTGCTGGGACTCTGGAATCTTCTATAGATTCCACGTTAGGAGGGAAGAAATGTCCATCTCCTGGGAGGGCCTCCAGTCCCAAGAACTGAGTCTTCTTAGGAAAAATCCACGATGGAGCAGAGTCCTGGAGTCAATGGCCCAAGCCCACCTCCCCCGGGTTCCATCCTGGCAGCTCTTCTGGGTCCATTCTCGGAGGCTGAACGTCTGCTTCCGATGGCCCTGGCCCCCCACCTGCCAATCCTGGAATCCTGGGTGCCTCTATCTGTTACTCTGGCTTCCTGGGCACCTCCACCTGTCAATTCTAGCTTCCCTTCTGAGTACCTCCACCTGTCACTGCCAGCCCCATTTCACTGTCTGGGACCCCAGATGACAGAGGCAGCCTGAGACCCACCTGGGTGGCACCTGTTTCTTCTGTAAATAGTAACACCTGGTCACACCAGGTGAGTTTGTTTTCTACGGTGGAAGTCTGCCCCCCGACCCACCAATGAATTTCTGAGTGCTCTGGACCATTTAAGCGAAGCCGGGCCATACTCCCAGGCCAGCAGAGCCCGTGGGCCGGCCTTCGCTGCTAACCGGCAGATGACCCCAGGCTGGCCCCCTGCAGCCCTTGTTATTCTTGCCCAGGCCAACACAGTCGTTTAAGTGAACTCTTGTTGCCACAGAGGGGAGCAGAGGCTTCTCCCTCTCCATTCTCTGTCACTCAACCAGCTTCGGGGCCACACCCATTCCGCGCCAAGACCGCAGTGGTTCAGGGACGGATTCCATGCCAAATTCCATGCTCCTCAATGTTCTCAGTTCTGCCCAGAAAGCAGGGGCGCGTGGCTCTTGGGTGAAGAGCGGGCAGCTGGCTCCAGTGGTTTCGTAGCCCCCGATGAGCACCTTGACCCTATAAAAGTGTCTACCTCTTTCTCTTCCTGTGCCAAGCACCAGATCACAGAAGGGTCACACCCAGTGTGCCCTCGGGACACTGGCAAAGCCGAGTACTCTCAGATTTTCAGAAAGGATGTGAGCTTTCACAGTCCTCAAGAAAGCAGGATGGGAGCCACAATAATCTCCTGTAAATTACGCCCCAGTGGCGCCCCTGCCCTGCCCCAGGCGCACAGATGGGGAGGCCCTGCTGCTGGGTCATGTGGCAGGTCCACCCACTGTCCTGTCCTAGGCTTCCCGTGCTGGCTGGTCACCGGACTCCATGTGCAGCTGATCATACAGGGTCAAGAGAGATTGGGGGTGGCTCGGCCCACTCTGTCCCTACTGAGGGGCAGAAGCAAAGCCCACGCCCTGCAGGGGGACTCGTCCTGACCTGGGCAGGGCTGCTGCTCCCTGGCAAGGGGAAGGAGCTGGTTCCGATGAAATGCACGTTGCCAGCTACACTCAAAACAGCCCCCTCGCCTGGTGGAGTCAAGACACAGGGCAGCCTCGAGCGGTCCCTCCACTCCTCCCGGCAGCCAGCTCTCAGCATCTGCCGTCTTATCTTCAAACACCGGCCACTTCTGCTTAGGGTCAGGTGCGCTCGCACGTTATGGACCAGCAGGGCTCCCCCTGGAGGCCTCAACCTTTCGTTGTTTCCAAGGCCTAGGGCGGGGACTGTCTCTCTAATTGTCATCACGCTCACTAAATACTGAACACATCCAGTCCAGGCTCTCCTTCAGCACTTAGAAAATAGGTAATAATCCAGGAAGTGGCCACCGTCCCTCTGTGCCCAAAGCCTGTCCACGTGGTCTCCGGGTACCAGGCACACTTGGGAAAGCCCAGGAGTCTCTGGGTGGGTGGGCGGCCCCAGCTCTCCTCCTGCCTCGGCTGACCCACCCACTTTTGAGGGGCAGAGCTGGGGCACCAGGGGCACTTTGCATCCAGGGAGGTCAGCATCTGTGGCCTGGGTGCCTCCAGGGCCTCCATTCCTCCCGGGGGTCCTGGGCCCCTTACCGTTGGTGTAGGGGTTGGCAGTCTTCTTATTGGTCATGACTCGGGCCGTGGCGTTATTGACCTGCCCGGAGAGAGGGAGGGGAGGGGAGGGGAGCATTAGCCTCCTATGGGCCACTGGCCGCCCCAGTCCTGCTCTGCATGCTCCTCCACGGCCGCCGCGGAGGGGGCTGGGGGCTGGGGGATCGGGAGGGAGGCCGTGGGGCACCCAGGTGGGGGCACCGGACAGCCTCTGCCACCAGCCGGGCCCCCCACCCTGGCCTGCCCTCCTGCCTGGCCTCCTCTCGGCTGTGCCACCCACTCCAGGGAGGCTTGGCGACACTGCTCCCAGCACTGGCTGGTGCCTGGCCTTGGCTCAGGGATGGCATCCAGCCCACCAGCTCCTGCCCTTCATGTGGCGGTTCCCACACACCAAGCCCGGGCCTCTCTACCAACCCAAGGCCATTGGCGAAGCTGGTTGGTGGACTCTTCATGGAGTGCTCTCAGCCCGCTAACAGGCTGGCCCCCATGACGAACTGTGCCCTGGTGGCCCCTAGTTGGCACCAAGATGGCCAGCCACTCCATTCCCCAAGACCAGCAGAGAGCTTTCTGTTGGGGTGCATATGCCTGTGGGGAGCCCGGCCAATGAGGGAGGGGGCAGGCGGGCGCAAAGGGGATGAGGCCTACTCTCAGATATCTAAGCCCCTGTCACGCTGCCCAGGGGCCAGCGGGTGGAGGAAGGCAGAAGCCTCTGTGGAATGGAGCAGAGGACAGGGCCAGCGGTGGAACCCGAGGAAGGGGTCTGGGCCACACTGCCTCCCCCACGTCCCGTGTGAGCCCCCAGGGCCTTGGGCCGCAACCTCAGGTGCCCACCAGGCGCTGCATGGGAGCTTGGCCGGCATCAGGGCCTCCAGTATTCCCTCCGCTTCCAGAAACCCTCCCCCAGGCTTTTCCACTGCTCCTCCTGTGGGCTCTGAGCTGTGCCCTCTCTGGCCACCCCTCGCTGTCCTGCCTGTCGGAGAGCCCAGCTCACGGACATCCAGACCCACGGCACTGTGGTGAGGATGCACAGCCCATCAGAGGAGGGGCAGAGAGGGAGGGTAGTGTCTGGGGCAGGGGGGACCCCCTGCCTCCTGTCCCTGCTGCTCCTCTGGGCTGGGTCCCTTTCTAGGCCCTGGTCACTCATTGCTGCTGACCCTCTGGGAGATGAGGGCGGGAGGCAAACTACAGGGCGCTGGTGGTGTGGGGAAGGGGAGGGCAGGGGCCACTGCTGCTCCCTGGTGAGAGGGGCCACGGGGATTGATGGCTCTTTCCAACTGGGGGACTGACTGAGCTGGCCCGGGTCCTTGGAGCTGCCAAGCCTCAAACACACATTTCTGGGGCTCCTGCCAGTGTCTGGCTGACCCCCACAGTTGGAGGCCTCTTCCAGGAAGGAGAAGGAGGGGGCGGGAGGGCCCCTTGAATGAGCCTGAAGCCTAGACCCCCAGGGGTGGCAGGTGACGACAGGCTTGGCTCTGGCTTCAGCGCAGCCCTGCCCCCGCCCCGTCTTCCTGCCATGGGGGACCCAGGGTGACAGGCAGCAGTTCTCAGGGGTGTCCCTGCCGCAGCACACTTATCTGAGCACCTCAATTTTCCGTCCCTCTACGATCGTCCCATTCAGCTTCTCCCGGGCTCGGTCAGCATCTGAGCTAGTTTCAAAAGTTACAAACCCAAAACCCTGTGAGCGGAGAAGGACAGACACGGAGAGAAAGACATAGGATGAGAAAAAGGACAAAAAAGGAGGCATGGGGGTCGGGGGCGGGGGACAGGGCAGTGGGGGTGGGGGGAGAGAGAGAGAGAGAGAGGGAGAGAGAGGGGTTGAGTCAGCTGAGTTAAAGGAGAGACTCAGTCTGTCCTGGTGCCACTGGCAGGATGCCCAGGAGGGGTATGGGCCCCAGGCGGGGGCAGTCGCTGGCCTTGCTTGAGCCTGGCCTGAGCTGACCACCTGGCACCTGCGAGGGGACAGGCCAAAGCTACAAAAGAGACGCCAAACCGGCCAGGGGCCAGGACTGTCGCTCTCATTCCACCCGGCGTGCCGAGGCTGGGCTCCAGGACCTCCAGGGGCAGCCCCACCCACCTTCACCCCAGGAGCCCGGGAGGGGGATGTCTTCCCCTCCTGGAGTGGGGAGCAGGCTTGTCTCTGCTGGACACCCTCCCACCTTCCCGCCCTGCGGCCCCTTCCCCAGGCCTCCAGGCCAACTCCGAGGCAGGCCAGTGGCTCCCCCAGGAGCAGCTCGGGGTGGGGACCCGGGCCAAGGGGCGGGGCTCCGGGTGCAGACAGAGAGGTCCTGGCAGCTCAGAGAGAAGGCAGCCTCGCAGCAGCAGCAACAACACAGACAGGGGTGGGTGGGGGCAGGCGGAGGAGCGGGGAATACAAGCACCCGTGTCGCTCAGGGGTCCTCGGGCTCGAAGCTCTCCAGGAAGGAAACGCACATTTCACACGTTAGCCTGGCGGGACCTACAGCCGGCGCTGTAATGGTGGCGGCCTCTGGGCGGCACCCACCTTGGAGCCCCGCTCGTTAAAAATGATCTCCACGTCTAAAATTTTTCCGAATTGCTGCAGAGATAGAGATGGGGGTGGGAGACAGGGGAGGGTGGGTTAAGACTGCCGCCCGCAGGCCTGCGCCCCAGGAGACCCTCACCCGCTGCCCGTGTCTGGTCTTAAGCCCAGGGGTCCCCTTCTGCCTCCTGTGGGGAGCAGGAGGAGGGGCTCTGAGTGCAGCTTGGTGGGGACAGGGACACCCCTCCCCACCTTCTCGTGGAGAGATCTTTTCCTGCCAGCATGCTGGCCCCATCTACAAGCCAGGAGGAGGCTGGGGACCAGAGGGGTGCAGCATCACCAGTGTCCCTCTCCCCTCCCTCCTGGGACTCTGCCACAAGTTACTGATAGCCAGCCCTAATTCACACTAAAGGGTAAAGGACTATGGACAGGCAAGGAGCAGGAGGGACCCTGTACTGCCTGCTGTCTGTCCTGTTGGGCAGGGCTGGGGGGATGCGGAGCAGCAGTGACTCCAGGCCCCTCTGTGGGGCAGGACATACCGGCCAGCTGGGCCCAGATGCTCTGCTGCCCCATTCCTGCCCCATCCCTGGCCAGAACCCCCAAGGGGCAGCCCTGTCTCTCTCACTGGCACAGGAGACCATGAACCTGTGATCCAGGTCCCTGGAAATGCCCGTGAGGTCCCGAGGGGCCTGTCCTGAGGCCTCCGGTGTGCACAGTTGATGGGTTTCCCGTTCACCCCACAACATGGAGAGGTGGGCGTCAGAACGGGCAGAGAGATGACTGGAGCCAGACAGCGATGCGATCCCAGCTCTGCCCAAGGCCACAGCGGGGAGGACAGTGCCTGCCCTGGTGGAGGGCTGGTGAGCTGATGGGCATCATGTAGGGACCAAGTGTGCTGCTGGGTGTGAGGCCAGGAGGCTGGGCTGCCCACCAGGTGCCCTCTGAGGGGCACAGGGGTCTCTGGAGCCCTTGTCAGAAGGTTGGGACTACAGAGTCATAACCTCAGCCCTGAGGGGACCCAACAAAGCCCTGAGGACAGGTGGCACCAGATAACAGGCAGATCTCTGGCCAGGGGTCGGTGGCCACAGCAGGGCCCTCTTCCCTGAGCTTCTGTCCTTCCCCCTCCCTCCCACCCCCAGGCTCAGGTCAGAGTGGGCTGGACCCAGGAGACATCGGGAGGCAGGAAACCTAGGGGGAGCCACCCTGGCTCCTGGGCTGTTGCTGGTGTGGGGTGGGAGCCGGGTCGGAGGGCTGCACACACTCACCCCGAACATTTGCCGCAGGTCGGGGTCCCTGAACCGGAAGGGGATGTTGGAGACGTGTAGCCGCTTGGGCTGCTGCTTCTCTGTGGGGTCGGAGGGGTGGAGCGGCTGGCTGTCCGTCTGTGCCGCCTCGTCTGTCTGCTGTGGGGAGAGGACCCCCTCAGCTCCCATCCCATACGGAGGGAGCGTCTAAAGATCAGATCCTCCCCACCCCCCTGGAATCCCCCACCCAGGGCAGAGATCTGAGAGGGAGTCTGGGCAGACACTCGCAGGAGATCCAGCAGGAGCGCCTAAACCTCCGAGGGCCCCCCGGGCCCCGCCCCGGCCGTGCCCTTGACACCACGCGGGGCAAGCCTCCTGGCCCAGGGTCCTCCGCTCCCGCAGCTCGGCCCTGTCCACAGAGCTCTGACCTCAACGGTCCCTCAGCTCCATTGAGTATTATGGTCTCAAGGATACAGGTCTGCCCTTTCCCCCGACAGAACCTGAGCTCCGGGGGCACGGGGACCATTCCATCTTTCAACCCTGATGAGAAAGTGGGGAGGTTTCAGAACCTGCCCTGGGCACATGGTGGTTGCCCCGGGGGCTGCCCCTTCTTCTAGCCCACTGCTGCTGCTCACACCGTCAGGGGCTGCACGCTCTTAAGGCCCGGGTGGCCAAGTCCAGTCCTTTATAGCTGGTCCTCATTTTGGACCCAAACATTGGTCAACAGAGGGGCTCTGAAAGACTTGGGTCTCAGGAGACAGAGCTGACACAAGGCAAGGCCCCCCAGCTCCGCGTGAGGACAAGGCCATGCTGAGCCCCGGGACAGTGCGGTATGGTGGGCAGCGTGGAGGCTCCCTGGGAGACTTCTCCAGGGACGGGCACCAACTCACTCCCAGGCTGGCCTTCGGCCTGGTTCTGTCCCTGGTGCCAAAGGCATGCAGCAGGCGCCCCATCGGCACTGGCTGGGTGAGTGAGTGGCTGACTGACCACGGTGCCTGGTTCGCTCACCATGACCTGGAAGCCGGTGTTCACGGCAAACAGCAGAACCATGGACCATAGCCCTGGGACTTATTCTCCGGGCTCAGCCCACGGGCGAGGAAAGTCGGAGTGTCAGTGTCCGGGAGCGGCCCTCAGCCGGTAACAGATATGGGGGGTGGACAGATGCCCAGCTCCCTCCCGGGGTCTCCTCTGGGGGCTCCACTCTGCCCCGTCCCCCGGTGGGGATAACCAGCTGAGAACGCACCTTTTGCTGCTTCCTTCTCTTTCCTGTCTCAAGTCCCCACCCCCTCCTGGAGCTTTCTTGGGATCACTTCCCTAACACACTGCTTGGACTTGAATCCTTGTCTTGGGGTCTGCTTCTGGGACGGGACCCCAGCTGAAGGCATGAGGGGACCCTGGGTCCAGTAAAGCCACAGGAGCCTTTCTGAAATGCCTGGAGAGTGCAGAGGCAGGAAGGGCCCCTGAGGCCCACGCTGGAATTGGTACGAGTGGGGAGCCATGCCTCCAATGTGGCCCGAGGAGCAGAGGCAGCTGGTGGGCAGTGGGAGGGAGGCTGGAGTGCAGAGACAGGCCGGGAGGACAGCTGAGGGGAGAGACGCTGGAGAGCTCTCCCCTTGGGGCTCCAGGAGCTGTCGGTTCACTTGAGCCACTTTCTGGTGGGTGTCTGTCACCAGCAACCGAAGGAGCACTGATCAGAATGACAAGCCTCCCAGAGTGAAGACGGGCCAGCAGGCCAGGCCACAGTGCCAGAGGCCTCAACCGAGGGGCTGAGCCTTGCCCAAGGCCACTCCTGTCCCTGGACTCCTGAGTGGCTGCCCTCGATGGCCATCCTGGTCATCCTTTCTGGAAGGACAGGGCTACTCCCCACCCTCCTGCGCTCAGCCAGGAGGCCTCTGACCAGGCTTCAGAGAAGCAGGTGCCATAGGTGACAGGAGGGGATGTCACCAGCTCCCGGGGTGGTGAGGGAGGCCGAGGACAGAACTCTGTGTTCCTGCGTCGAGAAGGGAGCACCTGGCACAAGATCCCACGCGTGGGTTTGAAGCCACCGTCCTCTCGTTCGCCTGGGGATACGTGTGACCTTCGTCTCAGCAGGCTGGCCATCCTCCGCGTGGCGAGCCCAGTTCTGAGGGTGCATGTTCTCTGAGCCCTCCCGTTGGGCCGTGAGAGTGACGTGTGCCCAAGTGTGGGCTGTAGGTAATCCAACACCCGTGTCTTGGGATTCAAAAACAAGTGCCTCCCCCAGGAGCCTCTACAGGAGCCAGGCCTTCGACAGGGAGGCCTGCGTGGTAGGAGCAGCTGGCAGGGTGGGAGTGGGGCAGCCGGTCTCCAGAGTCCGGGTCTGGCCTGCACCAGGCCCTCACTCAGGGGCATGCTCCTCCCATTAAGCCAGGGACCTGGAGATGCCTAACAGCCCAGCCCCTCCCCACTTCTCCTGTCCTCCGCCCTCAGTCCCACGCTTCCCCGCAGGAGGCAAGCCTGTGCCAGCCCTCCGGAGAGCTCGTCTGGGCCACTGAGTCAAAGCAGAACCGCGTCAGCGGATTCTTGCAGAGTGCCGAGCCCCACCCTCTGGCTACAACAAGGCATGGCTCCTTCTGTGCAGTGGTCAGAGGGGGCCCAGTGCCCCCTGCCTCACCCCCCACAAGTGCATCCCCTCTACCTGTACCCTCAGCTGCTCCTGGGTACAGGAGATGAATAGAGGCACCTGTATTCGGGAATCCAGCCAGGAGAGGGGCATGCAATGCTGGCTTCAGACCAGCAGAGGGCAGCAGTCAGCCAGCACCGTGGGAACAGCCCAGTTCACACCCAGAGGGCTCCAAGACCCCTACGGGGGGACCGTGGGAGGCTGAGCCCACTATGCGTCTCCAAGATCCAGCGTCCCCACTGTGGACACCACCCCAAAAGCCCTTAAGGGGACCAGTGATGGGGTCATGTGGAATGAGCCTCGAGTGCGGCCAGGACACCAATCAGAGGCCCCTCACCCCATTCCCCTGGCCCCGAGCACAGCTGCGGACAGAGGCAGATAAATGGGCTCAATGACTGTAAAGCTGTAAGATGTGCTGAGAAGCCAGGAGTGTAAGAGCACACTGGCGGCCCGGGAGGATGGAGGCCTTCCCACCATTTACCACGGCAGACCAGGCCGTCCGCCCACACCGCCTTTCCGGGGGGCTTCCTTTTCTTTCTTTCTTTCTTTTCTTTTTTAAAGCAATCTTTGCTTTCAATTCCCAAATGCAGGAAAAAACAAAACAACAGCAGCCCTCCCCTCCCCCAACCCCGCCCCGGCTGGTCTCAGTGGCTTTGCTTCTGCATTTTTCCCCATCTGTGTCACCTCCACTGACATGGGATGCCTTCCCCATTTCCAGGCCGGGAGCCGACCCCTGGTGGGCTAGGGGCAGGGTACAGAGGCCGCCTAGTGCATCTCGCACCCTCCCACCCTCGGAGCAGACTGCAGACCCCTTTGCCTGGGTCACACGAAGCCCAGCACAGGGAGAGGCCAGTGGGTCCAGTGTGGCCTTGGGCAGCAGGTAAGGACCCGGTAGCCCTGTGGCTAGGATGGAGCCAAGGCTTGCTGATGTGGCACTAGATGAAGTGGCTCTTGGACAGCCCCTTGCTCTGCAATCCCATCACCCCTCTTCCCAGCTCCAGCAGAGAGCTCCTGGACACCCTGCAACGATCATCAGCTGCTTGGCCGACACAGCTTGCCCCTGGTGGGTGGCGAGTCTGCCTTGGAGGAGGCATTTTCTGCGTATGGCCCTGAGTCATCCATTCAGGACGTCTTCTTCAGAATCTGGGGGTACTGGGCAGCCCCCTCCTCGGCTAGAGCTGTGTGTCCACTTTGGACTCTGTTTGAATGATACAGTATTCTTGGAGCTCAATGCCGATCACTGGACTCGTCGGATTGGCACTGACTGGCGGTGTGTCTGGCTGCGCACAGCTGGGTCTCACCCTGGGGTCGTTTGGGGGGTGGATGCGTCTCCTCATCCACCTTTCCACCCCACACTCCAACACGGTCCACCTCTTTCCTTTTCCTTAAGCCCGGAGAGCCAAGAGTGAAGGGGACCAAAGCCTGCGGCTCCTGGTGGGGTTTCAGCAGCCGGAGCGCCTGCTAGTGGCGGGGAGAGAGGGCCGCAGGGCAGGGCCTGTGAGCTCTGTCGCGCAAAGAGCAGATGGGTGGGGAGGACACCTGCGGGGACCCGCATGACCTTGAATGAATGAGTGCTCTGGGAGGTGGTCCCCAACTGTACCCCTGGGGGCCCTGCGGAGTATCGAGGGGGGCCCTGATCAATCAGCAGTCCCAGCCACGCTCTGCGCCCTGTGCTGCCTTTTGTCAAAAGAACACAGACAACACCCTGATGACATATGGATCCACACAGGAGAGAGGGCAGGGCTGGACACAGCCGGGAGCCCGGACCACCGGCTGCCCCATGTCTCCCCAACCTAGGCTGCCTGGGGAAGCCCAGAGGGGCTCAGGTGAGCTGAAGGAGCCCTCACATAAGGAGGGGACAGGGGACAGCTGGGTGGTGTTGAGCCTTTAGCTGGAAGCGCCAGGCAGCTTATCTGGGAAGAAGGTGGCTCCTGGGGTCTTAGGGTGGGACGGGGCATTGGGCACTCGCTCCAGCTCCTCCCCAGGTGGGAAGCCTCTGCGTGAATTAATACTTCAGGGTCAGAGCGTCCCGCCTTCCAGCGGCGCCCCGAGGTCTTCGCTGGGCAGCTCGGGTGTCTTCACGGTCTTCTGCTAATCCGGTAACTTCCACCTGCAGTGCTCATTCGGCCCCGGGGCATGGAGAACAACTGCCCTCCTCTGTGCCCCTGGACGGAAGACTGCAGACCCCGAAGAGACCTGGGCCGAAGGAAGAAAGGTCCACTGTCCCGTTCACCAGGCTGTGGGCTCTACAGCCCAGGCGCTTTCCTGGGGAGGCGCTCAGCCCGAGCAGCGAGCATCTCACCTCTCTGAGTCGCACTCTTCCTCTTTGGGACTCCGGGGTCCTCTCCAGGACCTGTGGACTCTCACTGGCACGGAGGCTACCGGCTGCCTCCGACTCTCATGTCCTTGATTGCTGGGAACTGATGGTTCAGTGCCCAGTACACAGGAGGCTCCCAGCAAGTGTCAGCCGAAGGAAGGAGGATGGGAACCCTGTCCCGGGTGGGCTGTGTTGGGGGTCAAGGAGGCCTCCGGGCTCACTGGTGCCGTGCAGGTATTAGCTATGGGCGCCCGCCACGGCATCTGTGGGTCTGATCACTTGTCTCTGTGATGGCTTCCAGAGCGAATCCCCGTGGCTCATGAGGGCGGCATGAGTGGTTGGGACAGATGCACCCTGTCTGCCATGGTCCCTCAGAAAGAGACGGGTCTGCCAGCTGTGACCAGCTTGCAGTGAGCTTGCTCTGGCTCCTGTACCACCTCTCTCTCTTCCAAGCCCACGCAGGCCATGGGTTTGAGGAATCAGCAACAGGGTTTGGCTCCCAGTTCTAGAAACTGGGGGCCTCGCCTCTTCCATCTGTAGGAACCCTGGGGGTGTCTTGGGAGGGGACCAGGGACCCCGGGGAATGGAAAAGTCTGGCGGCTTCAGAGCACACCCAGGCTGGGCAGCACAGTGAGCAGGGGTAGGGCACTGGCTGGGCCCCAGAAGAGGGTCTGGTCCAGCCCAGGGGGCAGCCTGGGTGGGCTCTCCCCAGAGAGCTTGGATGCTGCTGCCCACAAGGGCAGGGCGGGTAATATTTGGATCCATGCAGCATCTTGGGAGCCAGGCTGGATGGAGTAGAGGGGGGAGGCAGGCTGAGGGAGCACAATGGGGGAGCACCCATCAGGAGGCCGCCGGACGGGGCCGTTCCTGGGCAGTGCAGGGTGTGCTGGTGTCCTGCCCAGCCCCTCAGCCAGTGCTGGATGGAGCCCGCAGGGATGGCTGGATGAATCCAGAGCAGCAGTGGTGGGGCACATGGAGAAGGCAGGGGAGAGAGCTAAGGAAAGGGATGGAGCAGGCTGGGGTCCCGGGGCCTGGGCAGCAGCCAGGTCTCCGGGATGGGGCTAGTGCCATGGGACACCCACGGCAGGCGGGCCACTCCTTGCCATGCTCCTTTGCTATCAGGAATGTCTGAGAAGTGCAGGGCTCAGCGCTTTCTCCTCGAGCTGCATTACAACCACATAATTGAAGCTATCTGATTGGAGGGCAGCCAAGCAGGTAGATTACAAGCGATTAGAGATGATAGGAACGCCTGGAACCCGAGACAGCTCGGAGGGGCCTGGGCCTCTTCTCGTGCTCCAGCCTTCCCAGCTTGCCCCCACGACACTGGATAAGCCCAGGCCCTGGCCTCTGCCATTTCTCTCGCTTCCCATGAACAGGTCACTGGCAACCGAGGACATGCTCCATCTCCCAGAGGAGGTGAGTTTGCCTGAAGTTATGGCTCAGGGAAGCTGGAGGGGGTGGGCTTGGCTGCAGGTAAGGTCACAGCCCCACCCCGCTGTGCCCGGCTGAGCAGGTGCCACCAGAAAGATCCCTGGTGTCAGATGATGAAGAGCTCCAAGGCTGGGAGCTCCTTTCCTGGGGGTGGGGACCCCCACTATGGGACCTGCCTCTCCTTAGGCAGAGGCCACCCCCTCTTTGCCTCACTGTGCCTCTGAGCCAGCCCTCTGGGCAGGCACTCCCCCGCGAAGCTCCAGGGTCACGGGGCCCCTTACCGGCACTGTCTGGGCCCCAGCAATGGGCTGTGTGCTGGCCTCCGTGCCTGGCTGCTCGGGGTGGGTCTGTGCTGGTGTGTACAGGGTCATGCCGTGCTCCGGGGGGACCGGGGTCTGGCCCGAGTAGTCCTGCGTGGGGTGTGGTGGGGGCGGGGCGTACTCGGTGGGGATGCCATTCTGTGGCGGAGGGGGGTACTGGGTGGGGGGGTAGGGCTGGGCCATCGCTTCGGGCGGAGCCGTGGCGTCCTGACTGCCCTGTGGAGGGAGAGAGAGGGAGGTTAGACCCTTGCCCGGCCCGGACACTGGCCCCTGCCCAGAGCCCAGGGCTGGTGCTGTCCCAGCTGAGTGTGAGTTTCCGGATACCCATCCTCCGGATGCTGTTCTCTCAGCAGCATTTGTCAGGCCCCCAGATGGGGGTCCCCCAGCATGGGGCCCCGGCTCAGAGATGCAGGAGGTACCCGCCATGCTGGCAGGGTTCTGGAGCACCCAGGGTTTGAGGCCACTTACACACACTTGTCAGACCTGAGTACATTAAAGAGTTTTTGTTCAATCCATCTAACTTAAAAAAATTGTGTTTTATTTTGAGATAACCGTAGACTCATATGCAGTGTTAATCCAGTGTGCCATCGACCCAGCGTCCTCCAACAGTGACATCTTGTGAAACCATCACCACCAGAGACTGACACGAATCAGTCAAGATACAGAACATTCCGGCAGCACCAGAATCCCTCTTATCGCCCTTTACAGCCGTACCCGCCTCCCTCCCACCTCGTGAAGGTTGTGAGGCTCGGTTTTCTCGTCGTTGGAGCGGGTGTAGGCGATGCATTCACAGCCTGTGGGGAGGGGATCAGAGCGGACCACGCAGAACACGGGGCCGGGGACACCACGGCCCCACAGAGGCCGCTGTGGTGAGATGCCGTCTACCGCGCATGGAAAGTTCCGGCCTGTCTTGAGGATCCCTGAGAAGATCTCCCGTAGATCCCTTCCCGCCCTCTAGAAGGCCTGCTGTCCTCAGGGGGAAAGTGCTCCCTGGATGCTACGAAGCTGACCCCAGCCGCCCTGGGGGTTTGGAGAAGCCCTGACCCTTGGCAGGCCCAGCCAAGCTCCGGGCAGTGGTTCTCCAAATGGGGGGCCCGGACCTGCAACATCCACATCACGTGGGAGATCATCATCGATGCGGTTCTTGGCCCCACCCCAGACCTCCTCCCACAGTCTGGGTGCTGGCGAGAACCACCGCGGGAGAGCACAGAAGGCAGCCCTGGTGGAAAGTCCCTCAGCCCCAGAGAAGGGCCTGGGGACCCTCATGGAGCCAGAGGAGAGGTGGGGCAGGGCGGTTCTGGCTTTTCCCACTCCCTGTGCCCCACTGTCGACACATGCTGGGGGTGCTTGGGGCAGCCCTCTGAGTTGGTGCAGCACTCTCTGTGGCCTTCTGAGAGTGTCCCCAGGGGAGAGAGTGCTCCACTGGAAGGACAGGTGCCATCTCTCACCTGAGTGGCCGACTGGCGTGGACGGACCCTTGCACAGATGTGGCTGGTCTGCTCGTGACTGCTTTCCTGACACCCTCGGGAGGGAGGAACCCTACACACTCCCCCATCACGCCAACCTCGGCCTGTTCGGATGTCTGTCTCCTTGTCCATCTCCCCCTCGAGACGGGCGCTCCTTCCAGAGAGCATGCCGGGTCTTGTTCTGTGCCATATCCTTCATACGGTTATTGCTTATCCGCCCAACAACTGTTTATTGGACATCTGGGGGGTGCCAGGCCCAGGGTTATGGCGTGGAGCGGGACCGGGGGCCCTGTCCTTGCGGCGTCTGCATCCAGCAGGAGAGGAAATTCACACCACTGCCCTGATGTGGAATCAATTGCTAGAGTGGGAGGTGCCCTGAAGGGCCTGGCCACAAGAGGGCGACAGTGAATGGGCCAAAGACCCCGGCTGGGTATTCTGCTTTCAGGCCAGGGCCCTGTCCAGCGCGGACCGTCTGCCTGCCCACCTCCCTTTTAGTGGGAGGCCTGAGGCCCCCAACTCTCTGTCGGGGGCCCAGCCGCACCCTGCCCCTAAGCCCCCCTGTCCCAGCCTCTGCTGTCTCAGTGCCACCCCGACTCCTGGGGTGACCCCTGACACCGCTGAACAGTGGCCTAATGAGCAGAACTCCTGTCCTCCTCCTCCTGGTTGGCGAAGCCACCTGGTCCCAACTTCTCTCTGCAGAGACTATGAAACCGGGGCAATGTTCACACTCCTGATGACAGGAGGGAAACGTGTGCACGTGCGTGCACGCACACACACAAATGCATGCCTCTCATTTGCGCCTCACTGCCCTGAAGCAGCCACAAAGCCCCACTACCCACTGTTAGCAAATACGTGGGCAACATGCCCCAGCTCCCAGCTGAGAGGGAGAAGGGTAGGTTCAGGGCGGGAGAGGAGAGGCCGGGGGAGTGGGAGCTGCAGGGGGCTGGCCAGGACAGGGAGGCAGGGAGGGGGCCAGGGCAAGGGCCGAGGGGAGTGGAGGGAGCTGGGGGTCGGGGAGGAAGAGTGTGGAAGTGTGGAAAGGCGAGGGTGGGAGAGGGACAGGGCAGCGCTGTCAGCAGCCCGGCCTCAGGAGATCAATTAACTGATTAATATTTGATTAGAACCTTCAGTAACTTGCATCTTCCCAGCACCCTCCCCCCGGTCCCTGCCTCCTCCAAGGCCTCAAGAAAGGGGGGCTCCTCTCCCATCTGCATCCTTCTCACTCCACCCCCAACTCTCCCCAGTGCCCTCTTCCCTGGGTCCCATTCCTGCTGAGTGACAGCTGCCAATCACTCCCACTGCAGTTCCCCAGCTGGAGCCCAGACCCAGATGGTCAGGGGAACCTACACACAAAGGTAGGGGCACCCGGCAGTGTGTTTGGGGCACTGAGTGCCAGGGTCTGAGGGGTCCGGTGTGGGCAGGAGGCAGCTGTGAGACGGGGCACCCAGGAACATTTGTGACATCATGATAAGGTCAGCACATCTGAGCACACAGTGCTCTCCGCTTTGCAGACAAAACCTCATTTAATCCCCCTCCTACCCACAAGGTGGACACTAGCACTTGCCCCGTTTCACAGCTAATAAAACTGAGGTACAGGGACTAAGTGACTTGTCAGGCTAGTATGGGAGGAACCAGGACAGCACAGAGGTGGCCTGGCTCCCAAACCTACCCTCTGCTCCTGGTGCAGGACTGTGGCCCTTCATGGGAGGGTCCTGGCAGGGAGGTGATGGAGTCTAGACCTTGGACTGCACAGGGAGGGGCTCCCTCTTAGCCACCAGGTGGCCCTGGGTGACTGTTTATCCTCTTCGAATAGGTTTCCCCATCTGCAAGTGGTCATCGGGTGCCCCGGACAGAGGAAGCATCGAATAAAAGCTAGCTAGCATGGCTCGGGGGGTCCTGAGTGATTCTCCACACCCCTGGCCCTGTGCCTCCTCCAAGCCCTTGGTGGAGGTGGCTGTGGTCCCGAGAGTGGCTCTCACCATGGCTGCACGTCCCATGCCTGGGCCCCACCCCAGGGCAACTGAGTCAATTCACAACTAAACTTTCCCATGAGCTTCTGATGTGCAGCCTGGGCTGAGAGCCCCCAGCCAGGCTTGGATGGAGAAGCAGAGGGTACCAGGTCCACCCTGAGGGGGCGTGTAAGTGCCCGGCACACTGAGGGCTGCACAACCAGTGTCTGTCACATTCCTTTTCTTCCTTCTTCCCCAGTCTACTGGGACCAGACGCAATGAGGGACTGGGTTTTGCAGTGTGAGTTGAGCAGAGTCCCCCCGCCAGGCTGGGGGCTCATCTCAGACGGCCTTGTTTTAGAGAAGCTTGTGAACGTCTGGTTTCCCAGAGGACTCTGAATTCCCAGGAAGTGGAAGCCACTCACTTCCCCTCCATCCCCATATTCTTGCTCTCAGCATAGCATTCTGCTGTACTCAGAAGTCTCAGTGTGCATGAGATGGGTGGGTGGGTGGATGGAGGGATGAAAGGATGGATGAATGGAAGGATGGCAGATGAAGAGATGGATGGACAGACCAATGGACAAATGGGCAGATGAATGGATGGATGGTTAGGTGGATGGATGGGAGGATGGACAGACGAAAAGATGGATGGATGGGTGGGAAGATGGAAAGATGGATGGAAAGATAGATGGGTGGGAGGATGGATGGATGAATGAATGGATGAAAGGATGGATGAGTGGAAGGATGGTGGTTGAAGAGATGGATGACAGACCAATGGACAGATGGGTGGATGAATGGATGGATGGATAGCAGATGGATGGGTAGATAGATGGATGGAAAGATCGATAGGTGGGTAGGTGAATGGATGGATGGAAAGATGGATGGGTGGAAAGATGGATGGGTGGACAGGTGAATGGACGAGTAGATGGACAGATGAGTTAAAGCTAAAAGACCACGGTCAAGTCTTTATACTCCCTCCCTCTACAAACTTGTCCCTCTCTCCTGTCATCACATTCGCCTGACAAAACAGGTAAAATCCAGCTCTGCCTACTCCACTCAATGGTCTACACCGCTAGAGAAAACCACAAAATCAGAGTGATTCATGTAAGATCATTGACCACAGACTGAAGCAAGCCTGGCACTGCCACTCAGCTCTCATGCTCTGGATGACCATTTCATTTTTCCTCTTCAACCCTCCCAACATTCTCCATCATCCTCACTTTTGGTGATAACCTTGCTTGTTGTTTTCTGTAGAAAATAGAAGAGAACGTCCATGCTCACCTGTTCGCCCACCTGCCCCATATCCTATACTCGGCCTTTTCTCCTGTCCCTGGGGATGAAGGTCCATGCTCCCATCTATGACCAATCTGTGCATGTGGGCATACAGCCCTTCCCCCACACATGTGCTCACGGCTCTGGCGGTTCTCTGCAGTCTCTCCCGTGGTAGGAAAGGAAAAATCTCCTTGACTCCACAGTTCCTTCAGCCTACACACCCATACACCATTCCCTATGGAGCAAAGTGTTGTGAACGAGCTGCCCAGACCTGTGGCCCCTAATTCCTTTATTCCCATTCTCCCTAATCCCACTCCAAACTCCTGTTCCCTGGCATCATTCCCTGGAACTCCCTTTGTCAAGGTTTCCATCTCTGCCATGTTGAAAACCCAATAGTTGGTTTCCAGTCCTCATCTGACCCGATCCCTCAGCAGCACTGAACATGCGGACCGCTCCTCTCTCCAGAAACACTTTCCCCTCTTGATTCTGTCACACCACTCTCTGTTGGTTCTCCTACTTTATTGGAAGCT